AGTTTTACCAATGACAAAAGTCTTAACCTATGCACATAAAACTCTTCCAAGTAAGTAAAACCAAATATGCTTTTCTTAAATAACTCTATTTCCATCTTTTTCTTTTACCTGTAATTCAGAGGAAAGGAAGGAGTGACATCAGAATGTAAATAATAAAATAACCTTCCTCCTATAAACTTAATTGTCTTCCACAGCAAAAGCAGGATTTACTTCTGGGACACAGATTATCCCCGCAAGGAGTGGAGAAAATTCATCTATAACTCAAGGTGCTTAACTTTATATAGTGAAAATGAGCTTCAGCGTAGGCCTGAGCACTTAAGAGATCAAAATATCTGTGACTCAAAAACTGCCGGGTTTTGAAGTTGCCATTTCTTGGAGATCCTAGTGAGCTGTCCTCCTCCCTCCTCACCAATGGGGAAGGGAGCTGTTTGCAACTTTCTGTGAGAAGCTAAAGTTTCTTCATTGATATTTGCATCTGGATAATGGGAATCAGATCTCTCTTTTTGAACAACAGTCTAGGAAGAGAGAAGTTATTCAAGACAGGTTCCCACTTTCATCTCTCTGCTCCAAATTTCTTAAATGTAAGGGGTCTGGAGTAAACAAACAAGCAAAACAAAACAAAACAAAATCATACTTGATGATGGTATTTTTCTTCAAGTCATGAAAATGGGGGCTGGGATGAAGCGCTTGCCTAGCATGTGCGAGGCCCTGGGTTCGATCCCAGCACCAAAAAAAGAAAAGACAAAAAAAAAAGTCATGAAAATGTACTACTTGGCTGGAGCCTTTGGGGCAGAAAGATAACACCCACTGAGTAAAGAATACACTATGGGAAAATAAAACTTGAAAAACTGACTTCCTGCCAAGGAGAGGAGCTAATTCTGAGCAGTGTGGTTTGCAGTGGGGCTGTCTTCAGCTGCCCCTCTGCATTCACAAGCCTTGGCTTTGGCTGCATGTGGAGCTTTGCCACTGGGGCTGAGCTTTCAAATACAAGGAAGAGTCTACACAAACCCAAGCTGGGGTGTGGGCCAGCACAGGACCCAAAAGCCTGGGGTCAGAACTGGAGTCTGTGATCATCTTGTTGCAATGGCCCGTGCAACTTTGGGTGTCTGTGCCACCTGTGGGATGTCATTCTACAGCTGGAGAGACTTAGGGACTGACCTCTAAGAGGGGTCCTCCCACTGTAAAATTCTATTTTTTTTTTTTTTTGTGGTGCTGGGGATAGAACTTAGGACCTTGCACAAGTTAGGTAAGTGCTCTACCACTGAGTTCTAACCTCAGTTCTTATGGTTCTGCCTTTCAAATCATTTAATGAAAGAATGTGAAGTTTTAATACAGTACAGCCTTGGCAGGTGGAGGTGCAAAGCCCAGATAACAGCACTGTGCTATGATCCTGAATGACCAGCAGAGCTGGGCCAGCACAGGACAGTTTCTGGAAAGTTGCCTGCAACTCACAGGCCAAGGTTTCCACTGTTTTCTCAGGGACCCCAAAAAAGATGAAGTAGGCAGAGCTCCTAACCTCCTGCTCAGCTGCTTCTGGGAAGTACCAAGTCCTCTCCCTGCTCCTGGATGGCGTCCTAGGCGGGCCATGTTCCTCTCTGCTTCCTCTTGGAGGCCCTGACAAGGCCCTCAGCAGCAGTTAAAGCTCTTTCTGATGACTTAGGTTTTTCTCTCACTGTTTTTCAAGATGGAGTGGAAAGAATATGACTTATGACCTTTCAGAAACCTGGGTTCCAATCCTAGCTCTTCTGCTCACTGGTGGGTGACTGGGGAAGTTACCTAATGATAATGGGTCCCAGCCTCAGTTTCCCCATCTGTAAATTGGGAGCAAGACCAACCATCTCACAGGAATTCTTAGGAAAGCAAACAAGAGTGCAGGTAGAAACTGGCCTCTACAAGGTGGGTGTTGGCTTTCCTTTCCCTCTTTTTTACACCCTCCCTAGCTCCCAGTTTCTCTTCATCTTCCTATGTTCAAATTTCAACCAGCTTTCAAAATTCAACTCAAAGATTGCTTCTCAGTTCCAGGAAGCACCCCTTGAGGCCTTTCCCTCACCTGACATTCCAAAGGACATGGTCTATACAAGCCATGTCCTATGACAAGTTCTTGTCCCATTTTATCATTCTTTACCTGTAACTTTCTTCCCTAAAAGCATCCAGCCCAGCATAACACCTGGGTCATGGCAAATCTTTGTTAATGAACAAATGTGGGAACACAGGACCAAACAGCAGCTTCCCACATACTGGCTTTGATCAAGACAATGCTTAGCTACTACTCTGAAGGAAAACATCAATCAGAGAAGAAAACAGCCCAAGTTTGAGTGTGAGGCACACTGATGGGGTGAGGAAAGCATTGGGGAGCTGGAGACTATGTGAGAGAAGCAGCATTGCGGGGAGGGAGCGACAGAAGCCACAACAGTGGCTCTGAGCTTTGGCCCAAACACAGCGCCAACCTGCAGAGCCAGGGACCGTCCTGTGCGACGAATCAGACTTTTGGGATAAAAGAAATCAGATGAAGAGCGATGAATGTTTGGTGGCTTCCATGAAACATGAGAAAAGGGAAGAACAAACAAAAAAATCCTCATTCAGCAATATGTAACAAGTAACAAATGGAAAACTTGAGAGCAAACTAATTGTTTAATAAACAGAGGTGATCTTCCTTGAGCTGATGTACATGTGTCACTGGAGGTCAAGTTTGGGCCCATGTTAAATGACTATTAACTGGTCTCCAAATTACAGTGCATTATCTATGCCCCAAGTCCCTGACACCCTTCCCATTTATTTTGGCCCACGTGTACTTACCCTATACACAGAGGAAAGAAGCCAATAGCCAATTGAGAGGCGTTCTTAAGAATCTGTTGTTACAAACGCCCCAGGAGTTCTTAAATATGAAGAATGTTGATCACTCAGTGGGGTTGTGAAAAGATTCTTCAAACATTTTCATTTTGCTATGGAAACTGCTGTAATGTGACAAATGGTGAGAGGCCTAGAAATCTTGGCTTGAGATTGTGTGTGTGTATGTGTGTAGACACACCCTGAAGAGAGCATGAAATTTATTCCTGTATTCAAAAACCTGTGACCTTTGAAATCCCAGAAACACCAGCCTGTACCCCAACTCTGAGCATGCTGGTACCCCTTCTCTGTGGGGTACAGCCTCCTCCCGGACACGAGGCTTCCTAAAGCCAGCCAGCCATGGGGCTGATCCACCTCCCAAGTAGTTCATGTTGGGTTTAGGAAGAAGAGCTCTGGAATTCTCTGGAAAGCTTACTAAAGGAACAAAACAAGAGCTCCTCTTGGCTAGAATGAGTGAAATATTTCATTAGCTGTTTTCATAAGCTTCTCCAGAGAGTTCCATCAAGATGTGATCAAGTGTTCATCTTTCTTTTTCTTTCTTTCCATTTTCTTTTCTTTTCTTCCTTCTTTTTAAAAATCATTTAAGGAGCATGCTCCACAAACTCAAGCCATCCTTACAGGGAAAAGATGCACATTCCCTTCAGTTTGGCCAATATATCATTCTTCTCTTTGTCCCCCCAAAAGACTTCATCAAGGATGAAGTAAAAGTAATTGTCCAAAAACCAACACTGAGGAGACAGTTCGAGCCACGAGCTACTTGGGTGGTTTCTGGGCAGTGGCCCCAAGCTATGCTGTGAATTTTACGTTCTTAGGGCAAAAGTGACAGTAATTACTATCTTTAATACTCATATTTTATAAATGAGATGCCCAAGCATCCATGGTTCCACAGAATGTCCAGCCTGTCTGGCGGATGGATTTAAAGAGCAATTATGTGGTTCAAGCTGAAGTTGTGTATCAGAAACAGAGAGAAAAGCCATCCCAATACTGGACAAATTTATCTCCTGCTTTTCTTGGTCAATTATTCTAAGAAAAAATGTTTTTTCTTTCTACTTAAAAACTGCTCATAATGACTGTGAATTCTAAAAGAACTTTTTTTGTTTAGGGTCACAGGCAAAGGACAAGTTTCTAAAATATCCAAAAGGCAAAATACCCACATCCAAATCATAGATGTGAGTTGAGGAGAAAGAGAAAAAGAAAAAGGTTCCACGTATGTGTTTCAACAGGGAGAATTAAAAAAAGACACCAGAAAACAAGAGCTGCAGTTCCTGAGGTGACCAGCATGGGGACCTGAAAATCTGGCAATCATTTCTCTGAAAGGCAAGTCATCTCTTCAGGAGTCATACACATTAGTGACCAGGTCCCACTGAGGAGCTAGCCATGCTACTGCTGGGAATCACGGGTGTACCCAGATCATTCTTTTGGGAGACCACAAGTAGAGTGAAGTCAAACTCTAGTATTTTCCATGGGTACCATTAAGTTAGCTAAATGGAGAGACTGAAATTCAATCTGATTATCATTCTGGAAAAAACTTCATGACCCAGGTGAAAAACTATGCTGGGATGCAGATACAATAGTGAGCTCACAACAACTGAAACAGGTGAAACACTGCCACCTGGAGGTGTTCTGAACACTGACCAACTGACGTGACTTGCCTCATTGTTTTTCTCCTCTAAGGTTTTATCTGGTCAACCATCATCTTTTGGAGCTAGGAACTACTCTGATGAACCTAGATTTGAGATGCCAATAAAATGTACCAAGAGCTGAGCAATAGACGCAGTTTGGTTTGAAGTGGTGCCTTATGTATAGGCTAAGAACAAAAAAGTCTGGTGAGAACATATCCAGATGTTGTTTGATGAATCATTTTTCCCCCATCTGTATTAGCTTTTCCCTTGACTAATTTGTTAAGATGCTGACCAGTAAGGCAAGGCTTACTCTGTCAAACACAAGTCTTTGGAACCAAAATCACAACAAATTTAAGGCAGAAGGGAACCCACTTAGCTGGCCAAATGACTTTTGAACTTGGTTTGCTCTAAGGAAAAAAAAAAAAATCAGTAGAAACTAATCTCACCCAAACCCTAGTCACAGGAATTGATGACTAGTAAGCCCAGAGGCTTCAAATGCCCCTGGTACTATGGTTCTGATTATTTCCTTACCCGCAGCTTTTCCTCTGTCTTGGTAGATTGTTTACAGTCGGGATGCCAAACGGTGGAACCTGGAAAGACACAGGAAGTACTGAGAGCAGAGGAAATGGGAAGGACGCCATAGTCCTATGAAACAGAACCATATTCCTCTCTCCCCATTGTGGGAAAGTGTCAGTGTCATGCCCAAGTGACTTATGACACTAGATCAAACAAATGCAACTCTAGGTGAGTTTTCATTGTCCAGTCTTGTTCTATAAAGGGCATAATTCTAGACCACAAAGAACACTAACTAGGTAGAAGAGTGCTTTAATGCAAGAGATATTTAGCTTTTGACCAGGCATTTTTCTTTTTAAGCCATATTATTATCCTGTAAAAGTCATGTTTAAATGCTTAGTAGAAGCTACATCTAATTTTAGAAATAAAAGCCATGTTTATGTAACATTAAAACAACCAAGCAATTTCATTGTGAGAAATGTCAAACTAGATAGTCTATATCGAGAACCAAAACTTACTGAATTTCTCATTGATCTAATTCTAAGTCATCTATTCTGAAATAGGAAATCAAATCAAGTGATAGAAAGACTAAAGTTATAAGTTCTTTAATATTTTAATTTAAAAAAGTCTAGGCTGGGCTACATGGTACATGTCTGTAATCCCAGCTACTCAAGAGGCAGAGATTGGGAGGAATGTGGTTAGAGACAAGCCCAGGCCCACCAAAAAAGTTAGGGAGACTCCATCTCAATAAATAAGTCAGGGTCCCAGCTACATGGGAGGCTGTAGGTAGAAGGCTGGCTCCAGGCAAAAATAGGAGACCTCATCTGAAAAATAACTAAAGCAAAAAAGGGCTGAGGGCACGGCTTAGGTGAAAGAATGCCTGCCTAGCAAGTGTGAGGCCCTGAGTTCAAACCCCAATACTGGCTAAAAAAAAAAAAAAAAAAACCCAAACAAACAAATAAACAAAAAACCCTTTCTTTTAAACCAGAAAAGTAACTATGTAACTATTTGGGTGTAAATTCCTGTTTCCGGGTCAATAGCCTATCTTTCTTAGACTGTGGAGCACTTTGATGGGCGATACCAGCATTTCAGAATGAACAAAACACCTCTAAAAGAAAGCTTTTACGAATCCAATGCCTACCTATGATTTTGAATGACCACACAAGTAATCTGTGACATTTGCAGGTTGATGGGTGTGCTCACATAAGAGTTTGTTTAGATGTGGGGAGGGCAGAAGAACTCGAGTGATTACTGAAAACGACTCAGGCCAATAGAGTGACTACGTGGAAAGTAGTGAGGACACACTAGAAGTGGAAGTAAGAGTGTGAACGTCATTCTTTCTGCACATCAGGTTTTCAACCTTCATCTCTTCAAGCAGCAACCTGTGTGTACTGGAAAGTTTACTAAGTTAACTCTTGAATTACTTTATACTTTGAGCTCAAATGACATTCAATTAATGACAAAGAAATATGCTCTAGAGCAGAATAGAACTTTAATCTATATTTAACAATCACTTCTACCTTGCTTCACCCAGGGCTAAAAAAAGAAAAAAAAAGAAAATCAAGCAAACAAAAACCAGAGGAACATACATGTCCCTCAGTACTGACATTGACTGAAAGGCTGACTACAAAGCACAGGAAACCTCTTAATGTAGAGAGCCAAAGGGTCAGGTCCAGGCCAGGGGAAGCATTTGCTAGAAGGTTCTGCTGGGCAGGAGGCACAGGCCAAAACACTGGGTCTGCACAGAATGTCACCATTGTTCTCTGGAGGTCAGATCCACCAGGAATGTGGCATGGAGACAGCATCGGATGCCTGGGAAGATGAAGTCGCTAGTCCTTCAAGGACCTGCCAGAGAGGGCAGGCAGAGGTAGTGAAGTACAACTCCAGCAGTGTGTCACAACCGTCCCTGCAATTCTGAACGCAGCCCATCTTATAAATGTGCCTTATTTGTGCACAGCTTGGAATCCGCCTCTGTTCAGCTTCCAGAGCCTCTCTGAATGTGCAAGCCTGCACCTGAGCCCCAGTCTCAGCTTCTGGCAGATGTAGGTTGGCATGCTCTCAGGTGTCTGTTCTGTGACTACTATAATTGACATACTAAAATCCAAAACCAGGCCATGAAGAACTGAGCTGCTTTGCAGAAAAATATAAAGTGACACCTGCCTATTGCCACTGCAGATGTACAGCCTGTCCTTGGGAAAATGTGTCCTATGAGGTTCTCATGAGACCATAGGTGCAGTGTTTGTCGATTGCCTTCGTGGGGCCCTTCAGCATTCAATGGTGTGTTTCATCACCATATTTCAGAGTAATGATGCAAAATCTAAAATGATACTGGGAAGTCAACTTCTCATCTAGCTAGCTAGCAATTTTGAAGGATGGAGCAGCCAAGGCTGTGCTCCAACACTTGGGAATGACTTCTATAGACTTTTCTTAGTTGCACAAAAAACAAAATTGAGAGAGCAAAGGAAACCATTCATTAAAATTACACTTAATGCTATACAAGAAGAGGGATGAAGAAATGACATACAGAGGCAACTGAGGCCCAGTAATTACCAAAACTGAACGAGCAACTGCTCTTACAGTTCTTGCTAATTTTACTGATAGACCCTTGTCTAATTAATACTCTTTTTCTGGCTAAAAATAGTAAAATGCTTGCACAGATGGTTCTGTTTGACTGGAAGAGAATCTGCTCCTAAAACTTCAGAATTTTAGAGGAGATAAAAACTGAACATAGCTTTTTGCTGGGAATATTTCTCAAAATTATTTCCAATTAAGAAAAATCTAATGGCTTCCTGGAAATGAAGATTTCCTTGCAACCAGAAACTTCTTGGTTTCTCTTCCAGAGACTTTGGGTGTGTTCTCTTATTTCACTATGAACTATGTCACTTTAATGGGATGGGATGAAATATGTCTGTCTGTGATGCAAGTCATCCAATAAGATCTTTTTCTTGAAAGCACAGAGAAGAGCAGGCCTGAAGTTGTTAGTAACAGGAGAAAAGGCAAAGTAGCCATGAAATCAACAACACTTCTAGAACTGGTTTCTTTCCTCTGGTCTCTTGTTTCCCAAACACATTCCTGGGGAAAGTTGGGAGGAGGAATTGCTGATTTTCACTCTTCCTCACACCCACATCATGTCTTATTCATTCTTTCCAAGCAGCCCATTTGTAGACAGCCTGGAGGCTCACCGCCAGTGTGTCAATTGCTTGGCTGATTAACACTCACTGATGAGGTAACTTTTGGCCACATTCATGTTGGATTTGGGTAGCCTCTCAGCTAATAAAATGCCTCCTTCTCTACAAACAATCCAACAAACACAGTAAAATTTTCTTTCCCCAAGTGTGGAGAACTCACTGTGTTTTCAAGTCCACCTTACCTTGAAGATACATTTCCTCTCCTTCTGTGAACATCTGGTTGCATCTGCTGCATCGTGCACAGCTGGGGTGATAATGCTTGTCACCTGCCTGCAAGAGAAAAATCAGGGGACATTTAGTTTAATCTTTGTCAAGACTCAGACTCTCCCAGACTTGCAGATTTATGGGAAAAGAGAAGTTACTGATGAAGGAAAAAATAACTTTCCAAACTTCTAGTACCAACAGTCTTAGAAGTTAAAGCCAAACTCCCTGGCACTGAGAGTGCTAAAAAACCAGCAATTTCTGCCCACCATAATGGGGCTTCCCTGCCTTTCAGGATTTCTGGCTTCCTCTTCTCTCTTGACCTGGGCTTTCCTGGATGGGTGCCGATCATACACCACACTGCTGAAAAGAGTCCATCCTAAAACTCTACTTTAAAATATCAACATCCAAATTTATGTTGGTGGTCAACGCCAGTCTATACTTAAATTAACAAAAACAAATGATCTTCATATTTAGAAGGTTCTTGCTTTTTTGGTTACACAATCAGAAAATATTTAATACACCCAGGTCACACCAAAGCAAGAGAAACCATGCGAACGGCATAATATTCTGCTTTCATATCAAAAGGAGCCCAAATTCTCATCTATGCTGCCAATGTCTTTTATTAAGTTTTCTGAAGAAGGCATTTTATTGAGGCTGTTCTGCATTATTCTCTGATATTTCACGTCCCAGAATATGACAGATGCCAACGTAGCAGGTGTTGACTTCCCCAAGGCGAAGTGTCACTGGACACAAAGACAATTCTCTAGGACAGGTGCCAAGTCACATTAGAGCCATGCTCCAAACACAAGCCCAACAAAAACAGAATCATTCACAGCTTAGCAAAAAAATTTTTAAAATCCCTTCACAACCTAAAAATGATCAAATATACTCTGTGATTAAAACATTTTTATCAATGGTTTTCATGTGAAAACATGTCTTTTGCATTAACCATATGCAATGGCAGTGCTGAGAAACAGAAGTGTCCACTTCCTGCTTCTGGTCAAACCACAACAGGAAGTCAAAGTCCAGGTGGTGACTCCTTTCTCACACCCTGCAGTAGACACGTTAAAATCCCCTTAGCATGAGATGGTGGTTAGCTACTCAAGATAATCAGCCAGAAGAAAAACTGAGTTACTGAAATTAAAAGCTAGGAATGACATCTTTTCAGTGGCCCCTGACAAAAATTCCCAGAAGTGCTTTTATTCTTGTCTACCTGCTTTTTATTATTAAAAAAAATTGATGTTTTGTGAGGGGTTGGATGGGTGGGGTGTGAGTAGCAACAGAAGCACAGGAAAAATAAGTGTGAAGTAGCTCCTGCCCTTAGGACATCCAGGTCAAATGTATGGGAAGGGAAGAAGAAAGATTTTACTCAGTTCTAAAGAGGTTGGTTTGGCTAGGACATCAGTGCTGAAGTCCTAGTTAGATAGAACAATCTGAATTCTCAAGGAAGATGTAAGGGAAAGTGAAGGAATAAAGGCTCCTTGACAAGAATCTGGTGTCATCCATGGTGAAAAGCACATACTCACTAAACTAGGAACAGAAAGAAATTTCTTCAGGCTGATAAAGCATATTTGCCATATTTAGTGGCGAGACATTAGCTGTAATCTCATTAAAGACAGGAACAAGACAGAGATGTAAACTTTCACCAATATCATTCTGTATTGTTTGGGTCCTAGCCAGCATGATAAGTCAAGAAAAATAAGTAAGTATAAAGATCACCAATAAAAGAGTTCAGTCAAGTGGCTAGATAAAAAATAATATAAAACCCATTATTTAATAGCAATTAGCAATAAAAATTAAATAAGTGTAATGGGAAAACAAATAACCACCCCCTAATGCAAGATCTACATAGGAAATTATTGAACTTAACTGACAAACATGCAGTGTTTCTGGACAGATGAAACCAAATGAACCAATTAACATGATGCATTCCAATCAGAATGCACAGTGGAGTTTCCTGTAGACCACTTCTTTCTGTGTGGCACTGGGGTTTGAACTCAGGGCCTCACACTTACTAGGCAGGCATTCTCACTGCTTCAGTTACTCTGCTAGCCCTGGAGTTTCCTTTATAGACCTTGCCAGGTTGTTTCTGTAAGTTCACATAAGAGAAAAAAAAATGTGCAAAAATACAGACTTTTTTTTTTTCCAAAAGAGTGCAGCAACAAGAGGGAATTTTCCCTTTCTGACACAAATTTTGTAGTAAGGATAAAATAATGAAAGTACTTTAACACCAGTATTGGAGTAGAAAATAAAAACAATGGAACAGAAGGACCAATTTCATAGCCAAACATATAGAAATTTAGTTTATCCTGAGGTGATATTTCAAATGGATTGAAAGATTATTCCATAAATGTAAGGACAATTGGATCTCCCTTTAGAAAAAGATAATAGATTTTTAAGACTGCCTATACAAAAATAAATTCCAGAGAGCTTAAAAGTCAAAACCAGAAACAAAATTATAGAAGTATAAGAAGAACATATAGGAGACTAATAAATGTGACATAAGAAAACTTTCATAAGCAAGGTAAAACCTGGAAACAATAAATATTGGTTGATCTGTGCACAATTAAAAATCTCTAGACAAAAAATAATAGAAAATTTTGCTACATATTCCAGGTAAAGGATTACTTAGAATATAAAGAATTGCTATAATGAAAAATGTAGATGATCTAAACAATAATTTGTTCACTTCTCCCAGGAACCAGGGAAATACAGTTTAGAAAAAAATATTTTTTCATCAACAAATTGGTAAAAATAAAAAGAAGACCATTGATGGAAGTAGGAATCTTTACACACTTTTGGTGACCAAAATCCTTCCTGGAAGGCAATTTGGTGTTACCTATTAATTTTTTTTTTAACCTATTAAAATTTAATATGCAAATACCCTCTGACCTTTAACTCTACTTTTAGAAAGTGATCTAGTCTATATATCTAGTCACTGGTTTCTTACATCTGTGCACAAAGCTTATGTACAAAGGATATTTAGTACTGAAAACAACCCAAATTAGGAAGAAGTTAAAATAAAACATTGAATGAAGAAAACTTTACATTCTTACATGGAAAAAATTTAATATTAAGAGTTCAAACTAAAATTACAAGAGAAAAAAGCCAAGCAGAAAAATAATGCTTATGACATAGTCACATAAAGTAGAGGAGGCACTGGGTAAGTTTGATTGGATTCAAATTAGTTTTAGGATTATGTGATCTTGTTAAGGTGACAAGCTCACAATCCTCAGCTTCCACATCTATAAAATGGTAGAATAACTGCACTTACCACAGGGAGTTGAGGAAAACTATTGGGAAACTTGCATATAGCCTGACACCCAACCTATAAGCAGGTACCATCACTATTATTTATGTTAGAGGCAACACCTGGTATACTGATTTTATATGTGTGTTCTGCCTGGAGAAGATAGGAAGAATGACCACCAGTTAGTGTGCTGTGGTTGCCTCTGGGGAGAGTTGGGAGGGGGAAAAGGAGAAGCCTGTATCATCTCACTCTTTTTCATCAAGGATGTATTTTTATGTTACTGTATAAAAAAAGAATGAAGACAAAGAGGAAAAGGGCCATGTCTCTTGGAGCCACAACATCTGGGATTTAGTTTTCACTCCAGCCTGTACTAGAAATATGATCTTGGGGGAAATCACAATCTTGGAAGTTCTATTACAGAGCAGAGATGATGGTGGTGACGATGGTGATACTAATAAAATGAACATTTTTGTTTTGCTTGCTCTCTGTCAGTTACTGTTTTATATACTTTATGAACATTTGGTCAGTTTATGCCACAATCAACTTAACAAGGCTAGGAATATTATTCTCCCTACTTTGTAGCTCAGAAAACTGAGGCCTGGAGAGGTTTAGCAATTTGCTTGTGGATACACTGTTCAAAATGGTGGGACCTGGATGTTACCCATCCAGGTGGTCTGGCTCTGGAGTGTATGCACCACACTCACTGGTTCACTAGTGCCACAACTAATAACCAGACAGAATTCTGCTGCTGTACCTCATAGTGTGAGCAGATGAATGATCAAATGGCGTTTTGAAAATGGTGTGATGCATTGCACCCAATAATAACAGCAGAAGTAACAAGAGTAACAGCCTACTAGCTCTACCCAGAGGCAGCCACGTTCACAATCATAAAGTTTGTGAGTGGGGTGTGGGATGCTGGTAAAAGGCTCCCTGAATGTCACCTTTCCCAAGCACAGGCACAGGAGATTAGGTGTGTTATATGAACTGTCACAGAGATGGATAGAAGCTATGGCAAAGCCCTGGGCAGCAGGGCTTTGCTCTACAAATCATTAGCACAAACACTGCTAAGAAACAATTTCACCATGCTGCCAGAGACATCCATCTTTTGCTCCTGAGCTACTGAACATGTCAACAAATTCATGTCACGTCAAGAAATTCAGACTCAAAGGCCATAGGAGAGCTTTTGTGTATCTGGATCAGTGCAGGCCTGAGGGGCTAGGAGGTTAAGAACAAGTGAGCCCCTCCTCTGCATGGGTGAGTGACCCCATCCCTACTGTTTCATTTCTCCTTATACAGGTACCCGTGACAGTTCACAGAGAAGTCCTGTGTACAGGGCCAGGGAAAGTACCAGAGCTGAACACAGACACTGGTTCCTATGCAAACTAACCAAAAGTGGCACATAGCCAAACCAACATCATTTAAATTGGAGTCATTTTTTGAAGAAGGGAAAGTATTTTAGATCAAGCAAAATGAAAGACTAAGTAGCACCCAAAAAAGAAACAGATAGTAAGTGCGATTTATCAGAGAGGAGCTATTGATTGTAAACTTGCAAAGCACAGCAGGGAGTCTGTTGTGGGGTATTGGTTTACTTGGTACCTGGTTTCAGGGGCACAACCTCCAATTCTAGCTAAGCCTGAGTCTGAGAGGCCAGATATACCACTGGAGCCTGCCAAAACTTTGTCACCACCACTATTCTCTGGCAGTCTCTGTATCCAGCATTTTCACATATCTAAAATGTACATTGAAAGACTGCATTCTGGCTAGCATTAAACTCCATACAAGAAACAATCTTATTTAGCCAAGCCTCACAAAGGAC